ATTGAACACTCCTCCTACTCTTTCTTGGAGAGCCAATAAGCATCTATCTTCTATCCTTCAGTGTTGGNACAAGTCCCGCTTATGGAAAACTTGCTCAACTAGCCATATAGGAGTATTACATATATGGCTATAGCTATAGCTAACTGCCAGCCGCGAGAAGCGTGCCCAGGGTTGGGCACGTATTATACGTGAGGTATTTTACATTGTATTATACTTGGTATTGTACAGTATAATACATTGCTTAGTTTTATACATATTATACTTCGTGTGGCGCCATCTCTACATCATGTGTATAGTAACTTTTTAAGTCCAACATCCATGATCCATGTTGCTAGAAATCGGTCCGAGATTTTGGTTCAAAAAATGTATAGCCAATCAACTTGCAGTTTTTAAGCGGAAAACAGCAATTTTATTGACTACGTTAGTCAATTGTGATAGACTTTTGATGGTTAAAGAAACATCATTTCAAAACTGCAAGCAAATTGTAACTTTTGTTAAAGTTATCCAAGGAAAGACCTTCTATTTAAAGTCATGGGATATCTTGTGCAATTTAGAAGAAAGAAATTAATGAAGCACTACATATAATTAAAACTAAATACTGTGTCATGATTTATTCTGTAATCACAGATCAAGATTATCATACACTAAAAACTAGTGAACAAAATAATTTGTGGTTTTTAAATTGCAACTTATTCTTTGCATTATCATTAGAAAAAGTATTATTAAATAAAAATTTTGTAGATAAAGTTCGTTATCTGCTTGTTGAATTCTTAGATTTGAAAGAAGATTTATTGAAACGTAATACAGCAACAATTATATTATCGAATACTACCTCTTGTGATAATTTGCATGATATGTATGCATCTTGTAAAACAAATTTAGCAGCTATGAGACAAAGTGTCGGCGAAAATATATATAAATTGAAAAGAACTGTTGTCAGTATACTTTTTGACGAAACATTCGAGCAAAAATTACACGATTTTTTGGACTTGTATGGATCAATACGTTCAATTATTTTTCCGGGCCGGTCTCTTTCAAGTCGAGTTTATCGATTGAAAAGCGAACTGAATCGGGCCTCCGAATAGATCGTGGATACAAATGGATCGTAGATATAGAAGTGGAGTGTTGAAAAATATTGTAACCCTGAGGGGAATCAATTAAACTTCCTTTATCCTTTTTATCCTTAATTAAAGAAGTTTGTTCATACACCAACATCCTGTATTTGACTTCATATCGGCCCATTTTCAAATTTGTTTTGACTATTTATATTTATTAGATTTTTTTATAATTGAAATGAAATTGTATTGAATTGTATTTATAATTGAAATTGCATTGAATGAATTTTTGCAATGATTGAATTTTTTATAATTTGCATTTTTTTAATAAGTAAAATAAAATCATTTTGTTTGAAGATACAACGATATTTTGTAACTAACGCAGGTGTACTTTGTGCCTTTTTTACTATTTCAAAAACGGTAAGTTTTTACATTGTATTAATGGGCAAATTTATACTTATATCGTATTAACGAGCAACAGTCTTTTTATACATATTTGTTTATTAATTTGTTTATTAATTTTACGTAATTTTCTTACTACAAACTCCTGAAGAAACTTTTTCTATTTTGTTACTTTTTCATCTTCGTCATTCACATTGTAGCGGGACCGCGCGTGAAACGCGCTTCTGATTTGCTCAAATACGAGGCCAAACAAAAATGGCGCTGATCAATTTGTGCCATGAATTTTCTTCGATGCGCATTCCAGTGTATATAGCCTGTTCTACAATACAGTCGTAAGCCGTAAGTCGTAAGAAATTGACCAATCACAGATAAATCACAGAAGAATAAACGATTGTGATTGGTCAATTTCTTACGACTTACGGCTTAAGACTGTATTGTAGAACAGGTCTTAGTAAGAGCCGTCTACAATGAAGAGTTGTAGGCCGTAACAGTAAGAAATTGACAAATCACAATCGATTATTCTTCTGTACTTTGTCTGTGATTGGTCAATTTCTTACTATTACGGCCTACAACTCTCCATTGTAGACGGCTCTTACT